TGGAGTGCCTCCACACCTGGCACGTACTGGACACCTGGAGGTGGCAGGTGTTGAATGAATCACATTATTTTGAAGCCACGAGTCTCCTGAAAGCTATCAGGGGAGAGAATAAGAGTGGACATTGGAGTAAGTCAGATGGAGGCTTGGCAGACCACAAGGGCCTCCCCACGCCCTGTTCCCTCTGAGCCTTGTGATCTGCTGCTGGTGACGGGGCACGGACATCCCCGCACCACCCCAGGCTGCTCCTGGAGAGGCCTTGCCATCCTTAGGTGACCTCGGGGCACCTCCCTGGTCCCAGTGAGTCGGGAGCCAGGTGAGTCTGCAGCCACCACGGGCTCCTCCTTCTGCTGTCATTCCCCACCTTCCCGGGGACAGGAGGGTCCCTGTCACATCCCCAGCCTGGATGCCCACAGCGCAGCAGGCAGGTGGGGCTGGCAGGGAGGAGCCCGGGAAGAAATTCCTCTAGAGTCATCGTTGGCAAACCCCCAGGGGCCAGGTGGCTTCCACGCCCTGGAAACTTCTAGAAGCTGCCAAGAAAATAGGCATCTACACGCTCTGGAGTGTTCGCAGGGAGCGACGGGCGGAAGGGAATTGAGAACACGCGTGGCCTCTTCTTCCTGGGGTCAGGGAGGCCGGGCTCGGCCTCGCAGCTGGCACATCTGTCACCTCTGGCAGGTGGTGGTCACAGGGCACCTGGCCCAGGTCAGCAGCAGGACAGGCCCAGGGGAAGCAGGGGACCAGAGTGGCTGCTGAGCTTCGTGGCTGGGCCCAGGGCGACCCCTGACCTTGCAGATGTTTTCTGTGATCAACACGTGGAGAGCCACTCAGATGGCCGCCGTCACCCAGGGGACAGTCCCCTCCCGACAGTGGCTAAAGCAGCAGCTCGGTGTCATTTGTAAGAGTGAGTCAAAGGGAACGGCCCGCCTCCGGGGGGCGTTTGAAGCTGTGCCCAAATCACAGCTCTGGTCCCTCTGGACAGTCCTGAGACTTTGTCCCTCTGTGGCTCAGGACTTCAGCTCCACTGGGGACACTCAGAAGTGACTTGGGTGGACTTCAGGGCCCCTTCATCTCAAAGGTGTGGCAGGCGGTGGCCATTCATGAGGGTCCCTCCCACAGCTGGGTCCACGGGCAAGTTGGGTAAAGTCCATTTTGTCCATTTTTAATGTGGAGCCCAGGGCCTCACCTGGGCCAGGTAAGTGCTCTACCGCCAGCCGGACCCCAGCCCCAGGATCTTTAAAATGGTGACAGGATTTCAAACTGAGCTTCTGTAAAGTCCATGGCTGACTACGACAGTAGGACTAAGTAGGTGCTTAGGAAAGCCCTGACCCTGACGTGATGGTGGACACAAAGTGCTGATGTGGACTTGACTCAAAACCACCTTTCCTTACCTGAAGGCAGATGAACCACGGTGTTTGTCACACCAAGAGCAGGTCAAGACCCAGATGGCCCTCAGAATCCACGTGCTAGAGGATCTCTCAGCGTCGGTCAGGTGAAATGTGATGGGACACGGGGACAGAGGTGCACAGCGTCCTGATTTAACACACGGGTGTCTTTATTGCATTGCTGTTGACAGTTTGGGTCCCAGGAGAACCTGCGGCAGAGGGTCCTGAGCGACTGTAAGTATCTCTCATCTGGCTGACCCTTTTTTGTTGTTGTTGTTGGTCCTGGGGATGGAACCCAGGGGCACGCACTTAGCCACTGAGCCCCGTCCCCAGCCCCTTTTTCTATTTTATTTAGAGACAGGGTCTCGCTAAGTTGCTGAGGCTGGCCTCCAACTTGCCATCCTCCTGCCTCAGCCTCCTGAGCTGCAGGTATGACAGGCGTGGGCCACCCTACCTGGGTGTATTTTGCCTAATAGATGAAAGTCCTGTACACACAGGTGACATCGATTTCTCCGCTTCTGGACTGGCTCTGTTCCCATTTACTGTGCAGTCATTATTTCAACTGATGAATGATCAAAAGCAGGAGATGAGTCCCTAACTCCTTAGAAAGTTCTTTTCACAGGAAAAGAAAAGTGTGTGTGGCGGGTGGGACCCTCATGAAAATCCAAGGGGGACCCTAAGGGAAAGGGAGTCAGCGTGTGGGAAAGTGGGGACAGAGTGCCTGGGAGTGGCATTGGCCCAATGATGTCGTCAGAGCGTGTGTGTAAGAATGTGCAAGCACACACCCCACCACGGGGTACAGCCGTGATGCACCAATAAAAAATAAGTAAAAAGTTCCTCTTACCGTTTCTGAATATGGAGATAATCCTACGATTTCCTCCTTTCCTTATGGCCGTGTAAGGGAATCTGAGTTGCTCTGAGTCTGACCGAGTCCCACCCATATTTTCTCGTGTTCTGTGACACCCGGTTAGTGACAATGTCCTCTTTTCTCCTGAGAACAAGACAGGTGCCCACTAGGGGAAGGAGCCAGGGCGCCTGGGTCTGCAGTGGAGGGTCACCGTGGGCTCACAGTCAGGGCTCAGGAGTCCGACTGTCTCACCTCGAGTCACTGAGCAGGTGACTGAGGGACTCCAGATGTGGCCCGGCCGTCTCATGAGTGACAGAAGGTTCTGGTCCCCGCAGCACTGATGCCGTCCAGTTGAGGCGGACGTCCTCTACCGCGGCTCTCACCCTGGCCAGGCTGCCCACGGGGTCCTGTCTCTACAGCGCAGCTCTCGTGGTCAGTGGTCAGGGCTGGGCACGTCTGACCACTCCCTCTGCACAGTGCTGTGGACTGTGACAACAGCTTTGGAGTTTTGTTGCCAAACCATGAGTCTGAAGTGCGACCTGGACTGGGAAGTGGACCCTGTGTCAGAGGTGACTCGTGGGTCAGCTCACCTGGCCTCGTAGAGTCATCCACAGTATCTGGCAGGTTTTTTTTTTTTGTGCTGGGGATTGAACTTGGGGACAGTCGACCCCTGAGCCCCGTCCCCAGTCCTATTTTGTGTTTTATTTAGAGACAGGGCCTCATTGAGTTGCTTAGGGCCTCCGTTTGGCTGAGGCTGGCTTTGAACTGGCGATCCTCCTGCCTTGGCCTCCCGAGCCGCTGGGATGACCGGGGTACGCCATGCCGTTCTAACGTGACTCTGTGTGGACTGAGTTCTCTGCAGGCTTCAATTTGTTTTCTGGAAACTTGGTCCTTCTATGAGGACAGTCCTGGGACTCACTCTGAACTTCCCCAGCACCATGGGAGCCATCCAGAGGGCCACCAGGGTCCCTGTGCCCACTACCTTGCTGTAAGTGTCCTCATGAAATCATCAAGACGGGGATCTAGGTGTGGCATCTGCTGACAAGGTCTCCAGAGGAGTGTGACATCACCAGAAGGCTCCCCTCCAGATATGTGACAGCACGTGGCAGGAACATCAGTCCCCAGCTCCCACGACGTGGCCACCAGGGCTGAGTGCTGTGTGTTGCAGAGGCCCCGGGGACAGCCCTCCTGCAGCCTTGGGTAGGTGACCTCACTTGGGGACTGTGGCAAGGCCCTGGTTGAGCTCTAGGGACTTGAAGCCCAGCTCCCCAAGGCCCCCCAACTCACAGTGCCTTCCCCGTCTTCCCGTCGGCCGCGTTTGCCCTGCACTTCCCCTGTCCTGGTCCCCGTCCCTGTGTCCCGGTTGTTAGATGAGGGGCTGCAGTTGTCCTGTGCCAATGTCCCCAGGTCACATGGCAGGGTCCTGTGTTTTAAAGTCAGGGGTGAACAATCCCGCGGGGCTGTGGGTTCCAGGAGGAGGGGGACCGAGGGCGGAGCAGAGGTGTCCAGAGACTGAGGCACGAGGTGCTGGGGACGGCAGGGTGACCCCAGGCTGCAGGGGCCCTGCTGCTCCTTAGCCCTCTGGTGCCCTGAGCTCTCCTTAACACCCTGCAGAGGTTTTTGAGGATACAAAGTGCCTTTGGCCTGCGCATGCTGTTCCATCAAGGGTGGTGACTCTCCTGTCCCCCTGTCCTCGTCATTCAGGCCAGAGCTCTGCTCAGGAAGGGCTCCCAGGATGGCAGCTGGCTGGCCACATTTCCCACAGCAAACAGCCTTTGCCTCCAGGGACCACTGACCCCGAGGACCAAGCCCAGGGGTGGCCGCAGGAGGCTGGGGTCCCCTGCGCCCTGGGCTCAGCACTCCGTCCTTCCCTGTTAGCTTGGGGGACAGGGCAGTAAACGATGACAATGGAACCTGTGGACACCCACTAAACGCATCCCTGGCCTGTGGCTCAGTGCGCGTCCCTCGTGAGCACATGGCAGGGCCCATGGTGGATGTGCCAACAGCACCCCGTCTCCAGGTGGGTGGCCCCAAACCAGACTCTGCTTTTCAGAGTCCACGCTGGCGCAGGGCCCGGGGCTCGGCCGTGTGGATGAACAGTTGAGGGCAGGGCAGGCGCGGGGCGGGCAGGGACTCGCTCTTCTGCGTTTAGGGCACCAAGTGCTGGGAATCAGAACGGCTTGGCTTTTAGCCACCCCCTGCCTTCAGGTGTCACTAAGGAGCGATTCAGACTTGGCCTCCGATGACCCAAGAGTGGTAAGTGGCCTCTCTTTTTTGGTACTGGGGATTGAACCCAGGGTCACTCAGCCACTGAGTCCCTCCCAGCCCCATTTTGCATTTTATTTAGAGACAGGGTCTCGCTGACTTGCTTAGGATGTCACCAAGTTGCTGAGGCTGGCCTCCAACTCGCGATCCTCCTGCCTCAGCCTCCTGAGCCCTGGGGTGACAGGTGTGTGCCAGGCTGGAAAGTGTGTTCTCTAAGTGTAGCTCTGGTACCAGGAATCACACCTTGTGGCCCACGGGAACGTCAACATTTAAAATGACACCTGAGCTCCTGCGGCACCCTGTAGGTATATCATTGTGTCACCTGTGTACCCTGCTGTCCTGCACTTGTTGGTTTGGACAACTGCAGAGGACAGGCAGGGCACAGGGACAAAATCCTAGGTCCTGCTTTGCCAGCTGTGCCTCTGGCACCACAGGGGCCCTGTTCCTGGGCGCTGTGCGACACAGACACACGCTGGGTTCACAAGACAGGAGGCTGCGTTAAAAAAGAAACCCAAAACAAACACCAAATTTAATAAAAAAAACCAAACAGACCATCAGGACGTGTGTGCAGGGACAACGGGGGAACTGACCCTTGAAGAAGACGCGGGCACCTGGGGGGATCGGGGGGACAGTGCACGGAGCTCAAGAGGCTGCAAGTTGTTTGCAAACCAACTCACTTCGGGGTGGAGGAGTCGCGGCCATTTCTTAGTGACACACGCAGCAGCAGTGTCTTGTCAACGTCCTGGACATTCAAAGGGGCAGCTGTCCACGGTCTCTGTCTTCTCCTCGGGGTCCACCCTCGGTGTCAGCCGACTCTCAACGGAGGGGCGACCAGCACCACCCCGTCTCCCCGGACAAACAGCATCGGAATGTTCCGCTTGGTCGACTGCAAGACACCAAGCCAACCGCGCCACGTTGAATGACACGGAATAACGTTAACATCATCACAGAGACGCATCATTTAGAATATACTCGAGCCACCCACGAACCTCCCCCGAGGGCCTGTCTGGGGTTGTCCCCTCACCACTGGGTGACTCAGGTGACCCGAAAACCCAGGGGACACCAGAGCCACTAGAAGCAGCTGGGGTCCCCGATTAACCACCTGAGAGCATGCTGGTGTGGCGGCCTCCTGGGGACGGTGGGGACAGTCGCAGGGGCAGGAGGTGAGCTGCTTCTCTGCTCCCCACTGGGCATTGCTCACGGGGGCTGCAGGGGGCATGGGGCACGTACAGAATGGACACCTTGAGGCGTCTGCTGACTGCTCGGGCCTGGGCCCCAGGAGCGAGGACTGTGTGAGACCTGTCTGAGCCTCGGGTAGATGTCAGGTAGAACTGGAAAGTAGCCCTCAGGCTCCCAAACCTGCAGGCCTTGGAGGGTTAGAGGGGAAAGGGCCAAATGGGAGTGGGTTTCACTCTGGGGGACGCTGTGTCCAGCAGACAGACCCAGGAAGGAGGTGGACTCGGGCAGAACCTGGCTGGTTTTCATGCAGAGATGAGAAGGAGCAGAACCCACGGCGTCAGACGTGCTGAAGCCGAACAGCAGACGTGTAGGTAGGAAGCCTGGATGGGCGAGGCCAGCTCCTCAGCCAGCTCAGCCCCGCGAGGAGCGGAGGCAGGGGGCTGTCCGTCCACCCGAACCTACGAGGCCAGTGGTCGGCAATGGCTGGAGGGAGGGGCACAGACATCCCCTGTGTGGCCTCCAGGCCTCTGGTCCCTAAGGTAGGGGAGGGAGCCCTGGGCAGAGGGGCCGGTGTCCTGGGAGCAACCACGCGGTACAGGATGGACAGCTGGGAAGGTGCCTGGGGACCCGGAGCACAGACCACTGTCAGCAGCCCGCACAGCGGCTCTCAGCTGGCCGCTCTGCCTTCCCGTTAGTGGTCAGCAGTCGGCTGAGTTGTCCAGGAGTTGGTCACGTAGGTCACAGGAAGACCCACAAGACACCTCTGGTCTGTGTGTCCTGGCGCTGCGGACAGATGGCCCTCCGTTATGTCAGTAGACGCACAGGGAGAGGCACACGCTGGGCCTGGGGGTGGAGGGGCATTTAGCCCAGTTTCCTGTGTTGAACAGGAGCATCCAGGGACGGCATTTTGACACTCCTCCAGGAAGTCCCCCAGTCAGGACTGCGTCTGTGGCTGAGCAGAGCGCGACACTCCCCTGCAGCTGCGCCTGGAAGCCAGCGAGGCCCGTGTGCTCTGCTCACTACTAACGGGTCCCTTGGTAGGAAATGCGTAGATGATGCAGGAGGGAGAGGAAGGGACCCTGGCAAAGAGGAGCGAGCAGAGGGCAGGAGCCAGGGCGGGCAGAACCGCCAAGACCTTCAAAGGCTACCATTGGGACACCCACTAGTCGCCTGTCCCTAATCTGAAGGCCTTTCTTAAAAAATATTTTTAAAAAGTGTTTTTTAGCTGTAGTGCACACACGGTATCTTTATTTATTTTCAGGTGGCTGAGGATCGAACCTGGTGTTTCATGCAGGCCAGGCGAGCGCTCCACCACTTGCCCCGCCCCAGACCCCTGAAGGCTTCCGTGTGGTCAGTCAGGGGACCCTCCAGAGCCCCAGGAAGCAGGCATCCCTATTGGCCCTGTCTGATAGACAAGGACGCAGTCACAGTTGGGGTCGGTGCTTTGGCTCCATTATATCAGTGGTGAGCGGGATCCAGGTCTGATCTCGGGGAGTTCTGAGATCTGAGCCTGTTATTTTCCACCACTAGAGTCCAACAGGCCAGAGACTGGCTTTGTGATAGTCAAAGACTTTTTTGAGGAGACATTAACAAATGTATTAAAATATGAAGCAGTGAAATGTGTGCGCATGACTGGGTGAACTGGGGATGTCCAATGAGCAGTATTCGAGGTCACCACATCATGCTTCTTACCAAGGCCCACTAAAGTGCAAGACACAGCAGTCCGTGTTCATGGAATAAGCATGAAAAACAGCTCAGGGACTCGGTTTCAGATGCCACAGGGCGATCCACCTTGACTGCAGCAGGCGTCTGTAAAAATGCACCCTTCCCTTTCCAGCTCCCCATCTGTGGGGTCAGATTCTCTTTAACTCCAACAAAAGATCACGATGGAGGAAATGCAGGTAAAGGGCACGCAAACCTGCCCTCAGCTGCGCCAGGCAGTAAGGAGGTTTGCAAAGACATTGGCAAACTGCACAGCAAATGCACTTCACCAAACACTGTTCTAGAAAACGGTGGTTGTTTGTGACAGTGTCATTTTTTTTAAATATATATTTTTTTAGTTGGACACAAGACCTTTATTTTGTTTATTTATTTTTATGTGGTGCTGAGGATCAAACCCAGGGCCTCACACGTGCTGGGTGAGCGCTCTACCTCTGAGCCACAACCCCAGCCCCGTAACGGTGTTACTTGTATTCACAATGGATTTGCGTGTGTGTGTATGAATGAGTGGATACTTCTGTGAACTGTCCCTGTTTTAGTTCCTGACACATTAGGATCACCAGGCCAAGTCCACATGACGTGGAAGACCACCGTCCCGTATTCCTGTTGTCTGCGGCTCACAGGCCGCTCCTCGCACTGTCACGATGACCCTGGCGACAAGCCGACTCAGTGGATTCTCTTGCCCAAGGGAGCCTGGATAGGTAGTGGCCAAGTCAGTGGCAGAAACCAGATCCGCCTGACCTCTGGGCTCTCCTTTTAATTGCCACACTCCATCAAGTCCATAAGTAGGTGTCCCGAGCCGTGGCATGCCGAGAACAAGTGACAAGTTCAAAGTGATGAGCTGAGATAATGGGATGACTTACCTTGTAGATCTCTTCATACGTCTCTTCATCGATCTCTATTGTGGTCACGGTTTCCTCCACGTCGCCCAGGATCATATTTAAGTGTTGATCGTAAGCCTGGAGTGGGAGGGCGAGGGATCAGAAAACACGCACCCATCCCATGGAGAGACCACCACGAGCAGGGCCCACGACATGTCACCTGGACCACCACAGGTACTGCACCTGATGCTCACACCACACCCTTCACCTACCAGTGACGACAATCTGCTGCTACCCTACCTCTTCACACATGATCGCAGCGACAGCTGACCTGACCCAATAAAAACAGCACTGTCTATCACGGCCCCAAATGCATTCACTAAAAGTGACTTGGAATGATTTCTTGAGTGTCCACCCTGCTCCTTACTCACAGTGGCCATGTCATGTCATTAGGAAAAGGAGCATATTATCACTGATCAGCAGACTCGTTCCCATGGAGCCAGCCACAGTGTGAAAGGAAAGAAACAGGAACTGAGAGAAGAAATTCCTCAATGGTAAGATGACGGCACTGCACTTCTCTAAAGGCATAGGACACAGTCATCAGACCCGCCCTGTCCTGGGGTGGACTGGACACCACAAAGGGCAGGTAGGCGGAGCATCTGTCCAGGACATGGACGTGACTGGCATCTGTGGGCCGAGGGAATAAATGTGACCAGGACACTCAATGCGGCCTTGGGAGTTCACGCCAACACGTGGGCCCCAGGTCCCCGCTCAGCATCTCCTCACACGGACTCCAACTGTGTTGGATGGTTTACGTGCCCCCCTCAGAATAAACAGCCCAGAGGCCACGTGGGGAGGTGCTGGGCAGGGAGCACGAACCAGGGCCAAGTATACGGTTTAGGAGTGGAAAAGAAACCCCCCTGGGCCACGGCGAGAGGCAGACACCTCAGAACAACAGGACCTGACGTGCAGCTGGTGCTCAGTAAACGTCAGCTGTCTTTAACCAGTTCAGGGGACAGAAACAGTGACGAAAACAGCACAGTTAGGAGGTGACCAAGGAGAGGCCACACCTTCCAGGTTTTCTATGAACAAACAGGATCACTTCAAGGGGCCAATTCTACAGAAAGAATTGCACACATGCACAAAGAAATATGTGCATCATTTATAGGAGCAAGAAATGGGAGATAGTCTAAATGCCACCGTCATACAGGTAAAGTCACCTTTATACACAAGGACGATCTACAATATAAAATAGCGCTCATTCACATAGCACTGTTATTCACTATCCAAGTCTTCCCTAGTGGAAGCAAAGGAGACTTATTTTGGTGCTGAAAAACATGTATAACAGGATTCCACTCTTTTTAGAGGTGGTGCAAATATAAGCATCTACACACAGACGTGTGTACGTGTATGTATGTGTCTACAAGTATGCACACATATGCTTACACTTGTGTGTTTGAGAAAATATACAGAAAAGATCTGAATGAGTATATATGCATATATTTAAGTAAGAATGGAGGACAAATTTATTTAGAAATAAAAGTGAGAAATGAAGGGGAGGAGAAGGAACTCTAACAAACATCCTTGCTGAAATTGCTAAAGACAAAATCGCTAAAAACGAGTAAAGCGCAGTTGTGTTGGGTTCATAGAAACAGGAGCGACTTTCTACCCCCTTTCTCCTGCATTTTAAAACACGCTCTCCCCGTCCTGCACAGTCCTGCGCTACAAGGAGCGAGGCAGGAAGGAGTGGCAGGAAACAGCCTGATTTCGAGGTCATCGGATGTACTCACGTGTAACCTGCCTCGAAGCTCACGCTCATTTCTCATCTTCACGTAAATGCGCTCATCCAGGCTGAGCCTGATGAGGTCCAGCGGCTCCTCTACGGTGTTGGTGGTTTGTTGCTGGTAAAGGAAAACAGGCTTAGGATGGGATATTAGAGGGGGCGCGGAGTTTGGATCACTGCCCTGCTGTGTCACTGGGGGCAAGTTACTTAACCCCTCTGTGCCTCAGTCTGCAAAACAGGAAAACCAATAGTGTCTACCTAATTCTGTTGTTGGGAGGCTTAGTACAGTGCCTCTTGTATAACACCTGTGACATAAATGAGCACTAAGACAGATATATATATATGAATTATTCAGCCAAATAAGCATGACTTTGTTTCCTTGATATCCAGCTCTCACTCAGTCACTTAAAAACCATTGACCTAACGTCTCTGTGAATTCCGAATGCTACCACAGGTGCAGATTTAAGGGAAGATCATGAATCAAGCACAGGGCAGGTGGAGTTTACGGTGGGAACTGGTCAGGAAGATGCAGAATCTGGCAGGCGTATAGAATACGGACTGAAAGCACCAGCTTTGGAGTCAGGCAGTCTGTGACCATCTCCTGACCCCTGAGCGGACTCTCCTGAACTCGGATCACAAATCCTGCCATCACAACCCTCAGACTTCTCAATTGTAACACGAGGAAGCCATAACCTCCCTTTAGGTTCTTACGAGGACTGAATGACCTGATACCTGGTGAACAAGATAAATGGTTTCCACTATCACTGTTAGAGAACCATTCAACATACAGGCCTCAGAGGACAGGGCTGGATGACTTAGGGTCATCCTCATGGACGGGATGGCTGCAGCCAGGAGGAGTTGGTAAGATCATTCAAGAACTGCTTCAGGGAGTACACGAAACTGGTGGAAGAAGGTGACAGAAGGTTCAAAAGGACAAATGAGACGGTAAAAAAAAAACAACTAAAAAACCCCTGACATCAGTTGGTCCGTTCCTCACCTCAATTGAACAGCTGTTTAAAGACTGGCTGATCACAGGAAGCTCAGAATATCATTATTATTACTTTTAAATATTCATTTTTAGGTGTAGACGGACACAATACAATGCTTTTATTTTTATGTGGTGCTGAGGATCGAACCCAGGTCCTGCCCGTGCTAGGCGAGCGCTCTACCTCTGAGCCACAATCCCAGCCCAGGGAGCTCATATTATTGTGGAGAAATGCACATTAATACGTAATGGTACTTCCATAAAAACACGACCATCCTCCTGCTACCCGGGCCCAGGATGCCCACGGTGCACCCCAGTCCCCGATCACTTGGTTCATTCACTCAGTCCATAGTCGGTGAGCGCTTCCACCCTTCAGGAGAGTGGACAAAACAAGTCGGTCTATGGCCCTGCGCTCTCCTGGTGGGAGATGCACATTAAACGAAGCAGCCCACGTTCAACATAAAACATGCTGCAAAAAAAAAAAAAAAAAAGAAACCAAGGGCCACTTTACGTAAGTGGCGGGGAAGTCCTCTTTCGTGCAGCGGAGACCCCCGCAGTGGAAAGCTGCAGAAGCCGTGGCCCTGGACACAGCGGGACCCGGGCAGGCACAGGGGCAGGTGCAGGGGCGGGTCGCGCCCTCCCCACCCGGGGCCCAGGGCTCCTGTCACAGCTCCTCGGTCACAGACCTGCACCTGTCAGTCCTCCTGCAGAGCACGGGCTCCAGGGCAGGCAGACAGGCGTCGCTGTGTGCCTGGCAGCGTCCCCAGGGCCACAGCCGTGTCCCTCCCGAGTGCCGCGTCCCCTCGGCCGGCGCCCAGGACGGGCCCCAGGGACCCTGACCGCCCGGTCCCGCCTCCTGCGGAGGCAGGCAGGGCCGGCTCCTTCCGCCCTACAGACAAGGGCCCAGAGGTGGCGAGCGCGACGGGCCCCTCTCGGGCGGGCTGACAAGGACCTCGGGGTCCCGGCCGAGTCCGGAGGGGGCGAGACGGCCGGAGGCACAAGGGGCAGCGGCGACCGGGACGAGCCACCGCGGAGGGCCGCCTTCCCACGGGCTTGGAAGGAGACAGCCCTGGTACGCGAGGCCGAGCAGGGCCAGGGCCGCAAGGGGCGGGGACGTTGTTTTGGAGTCGGGTCCTTAGAACCCACTCACCTGGTCCACGTCGTCCGCCATGTTTCAAACCCTGCGCCCTTTCCCGCTTCTCGCGAGAACACGCCAGCGTCTCCGGGACCGGAGAACCGGAAGCGCAATGACGCCACGCTCCGGAAGTAGTGATGATAGTCGGTTCGTATTGGCCCTTCGGAACTGGGCGGAGCTTCCTCCTGGGGGAGGAGCTTGGCCCAGCACGAAGGGGTGCGGCCAGGCCTCGCCCCGCCTGGGGGCGGGCCCCGCGCGCGCGGCTGTTTTGGGGAGTCCTAGTGCGTCACGCGCTCGGGGAGATTTGCCCGGGCAGCATGGCTCGCAGGCGCGGGGCCCGAGGGGAGCCGCGGGGACGCGAGCCGAGCGGCCGGAGCGCCAGGGGCAAGAATGCGGCGCCGCGTGAGGAGGCGGCGGGTGAGAGCGGGGCCGAGCCGGGCTCCGCGGGGCGCTGCTGCGGGCGGGCGGCGGCGGGAGGGCGGAAGCCGGGCTGCGCCGGGGTCGGAGCTGGTGGCTGCGCCGGGAGGGGGCCCTGCGACGTCCCGTGCCTTTGTTTACCGCGCCGGCTGCCACCTGCCACGAGCCCCCGGAGCCTCCTTCCTCCCTGTCCCCGTCGCCCCGAGGGTGCCGCTTAGCCTCTGGGCAATGCTCAGGTCAGCGCGGGAAAAAGTGGGTCCCCAGAAGTCAGAGGGTCCAGGACGTGGTTAGTGGCGACTCCCAGGATAGTCAGTGCCACCAAGTTCCATCCCGAGTCTGAGCCCCTGCGCTGCCCCGCGTGGGTGTCGGACGGGCCTCTTCACTGTCCCCAAAGCTCAGCCTCACTGTCCCCAAAGCTCAGCCTCACTGTCCCCAAAGCACAGCAATCGAGTTTTCCTCCTTAAACATGTCCTGGTCCCATTTCCTTCCATCTGAGTAAGTGATCGCTGCACCCACTTGTTCCAGCCCCGTCCCTGCTTCCTCCCTTGCTCCCAGTCCGTCTGCAGACTCCAACCAGCTCAGCCTCCCAACTGTGCCTCCCTCCTGTCTGTCCACCTGATTTGCATGTCCATCACCCCGGTCCAAGCCCTCCTCATCTGCCTCCTTTCCTGCTTCCCCTCCGCCCTCTGCACTAGGTGCCCACCAGGCAGCCCCTCAGGATGTTCACAGCAAAAAATGTGCCTTGCTCCTGCTTCCAGACCTTCTGGGTTTCCCATTTCTTGGAAAATGGAAAATCTGCCGCCCTTATCGGGGCCTGCGTGCCCCTGGACGACCTGGATGGGGCTCCTACCACTCTTTGCGTGCCAGGCAGCTTCCTGGTTGGCCCTCTTTCCCTTCCCCAAATGCGGATGCCAAGTTGTCTGCCCTTTGATGTTGGAAGCCTTTGTTGTTGATGTTCCTTTTGCCTAGAATGTTCGCCCCAGGGGCTCTTGGTGGGGCTCATCTCTTGGTTTTTCACGTACTTTGTCCCATTGGACCCTAGTGGTTCCCTCCCACCCCCCTTTCTCAATCTGTAATGATCTTGTTAATTTTTGACTGTCTTTCTGGAATTTAAGCTTCATGAAAGCATGCCTTTGTTTAAAAAAAAAAAAAAAACAACAACTATGTTCTAACATTCTCCCCAACTAGTCCCCCCTGACACCATATAATCAATAAATAGCATCAATTTGTGCAAAATGCATGTTGTAGTAGCGGTGTGTGGACCTTCTGAGATAGCCTGGTAGAAGATTAGATTAGGTAACACTTGTTTGCCTCCAGGACGTGAGATTATGTAATTTTGAACACATTACAAATTCATTTGGATGAATAGCGATCCATTGAGTGAATCAAATGGGGTCATCAATCCTAAGTTTAGGAGGTGATTTACTCCACACTTAATATTATGAGTTTCATATTGTTCCTACAATTTATTCAGATAACTTTTTTTTGTTTTTGCTTTTGAATACCTGGCATGTGCTGTCCATCCGTTGGATGACATAGAAGGTAGAGATGTCTCGCAGGAACTTACAATATTATGTAGACATAACTCATGCTGTAAAATATCCAAGGGAGAGCATGTTAAATATCGTGAGAGAATGTGTGAGCCTTTTTCCCTTCCCAAGGAATAATCAAGTTTGACTCCAGAGTTTGGAAAATACTCTGTGAAGGAGTCGTTCGATGTGCCCCTTTAAAGATGGCTATTATTTCAGCAAAGGGACCATGACAGGAAGTGGGTGATCCACTCAGCTTGTGTTCTTGGTAGGTAGCAATTCAAAAAGTCAAGGTTTTAATCGGATGAAAATGCTTGGGCCCAGATCAGTAGTCACCTGGGCCTGAGTTTCATGCAGCTCCAACACTTAGTAGTTGTGTGCACTTGGGGAAGTTATTTTGGTCAAATAATTGAGCCCTTCTGAACCTCCTTTGGGAAACAAAACTGCCCTTTGGGGAGGCTGTGAGTTTCCAGCGAGGTATGCAGGAAGCCCTGGGCATGTCCCTGTTGGGACATTGTAGGACTAGCTCATAGCACTTCGGCTGAAGGGTGTCCTGCAGTTCAGCTGGTGAGCTCTTGCCAACCAGAGGTGTGAGCAGTACATTTCCAAGGCAAGCTGCAGGGTCTGGAGGCTTAGAACCTTTGTTGTGGTCGGGTTGAGGAGCACAGACCTGCTAGTTGTGGTTTAGATGCAGGTGACAATAACCTGACGTTAACTTGATGTTCAGCATCATTTCTAACATTATACCAGCGTTGATTTAAAAATATATATATATTTCTTGGCTGTAGATGGACACAATACCTTTATTTTATTCATTTATTTTTCTGTGGTGCTGAGGATCGAACCCAGGGCCTCACACTTGCTAGGTGAGCCCTCTACCCCTGAGCCCCAGCCCCAGCCCCCAGTGTAGACTGTCACAGCACCTCTGTGCATGCAAATGAAGGTGACGGTGTGTTGCTCTGGACAGTCAGGAACAAAGTAGTCTCCCCCATTGCTTCCTTGCTGCGGTGAAGACTCTGTGGTTTCTTCATGGTGCTGTATTTTAAGGCCTCTATTGCTCTAACTCATCAATTCCTCTGACAGCTATTTATTGAGCATGTACTATCTACGAGCCAAAGCGATGAATTGATTTTATATTTGAGGTCAGCACTGCATTCCCTTTTAGGACCTACATAAAAGCGATAATAATTTTATTTTCCAAAATTAATTGAAGCAGAGTCATACAAAATCGAAGGAAGGTTTATTTGTGTGAATGTCATTGCAAAGCGGGATAATATTTTTTTCTGGCCCTTTTATTTATAAACTATTAAAGTAATGATATCATCATACAGAAACATGATATGTTTAGACACCCTGTCCAACTAAAATCAACAGCTTGTGAATTTTGAATAGTTCCCTTGAACTGAAATCAAGAATACCCATTTTAAGAAGATAGTGGTGTTTTTGAAATACTGTGTGCTGAAAATCTGACGCCCCCAACATTTTGATGTCTGAAACATGGCAAAAATGTTGGATTTTGGACTTTTGGGTTAGGAATGGGTAGTGTTTCAGAATCTGAAAAGAAAAAAAAACAGAACGTGGTATGTGAGCACTTCCGATTGGAAAGGAGACTCCACCTGTGTGTGCCCTGTCTTTGTCCACCTCTGAGTTTGGTGGGAGAGTTGGGGTGAGGTTGGAGAGATCCTGCCGCAGGATGGGTTTTGACCAGGCTCCCGTCTAGTTATGGCAGAGACAGATTCGTAAAACCAAGGTCGTGGGAAAGCTTGGATTTGTAGCTGAACTTGAAACCTGTCACTCCTGAGGTCTACCCTCCCGACAGATCAGAGGGTCAGGAAGGGGGTCTCCAGGAGGGGGTTCAGCTAGTTTGCTTGCTGGGGGGAGCTGAAGGTCTAAGATACAGAAATTTGATTTTATTTGAGTCCTTGGTGGTTTCCAGAGTCTCAGGAGAAATAGAATAAAGGCTGGATCAGGGGTTCACCTGTCACCCCAGCGATGCAGGAGGGGAGCTTGTGGGTCGGAGGCCAGCCTTGGAGGCCAGCCTTGGAGGCCCTGTCTCGAAAAATCAGCAGGAGGCAGCCGAGGGTCAGAGCAGCCCTGGGTTCCACGTCTGGTGCTGCGACCCCACGGCTGCAGGGGGCGAGGCCCGAGCTGGGCCAAGGTGGGATGGTGAGCCGCAGTGGAGACGCGCTTTGGAGAGAGGTCGCAGACCCTGTCCCTAAGCCACTCTGTGTCCACGTTCCTGTCGTCCCCAACTCTTGTTCTGTGTGGCCCCCCAGGTGTCAGTGAAGACAAGAAACCGGAAGACCCCAAGAAGAGCCTCGTCCCCAGAGTTTCCCCAGGAAAGAAGAAGAGAGGTCGCAGTCGCCCTGGGGACTCCGCAGATCGCCCAGCAAGAAAGAAGGTGGCCAGGGCGACTGTCACGTCTGAGAGCGTCCCCGTGAAGGAGGAAGCCCTGGGTGAAGGGGCAGAGGTCAGGTGAGGGCCCGGCGGGCGTCAGACTCCGTGTCCACCCTTCCCATCGGGCAGCGTGGAGAGTGAGACCCCCTCTTCTCACTTGTCACCAGGGTCCAGGGACAGGGAGGAGTCTCTAGAGTCTTCTAGACAGTAGGAGCAGGGGACAGCGGGGACACTGATCTATGCAGTCAGCCGGGGGGACACTAGCCAGAGGCCCACGGCTACTGACTGTGGCCCGTAGATAGGGGGTACCCGCCACTCTGGCTTCCTCTTGTGCCACCTTTTTGGGGACATGTGGCCCAGGCCCAGCTGGACCTCTCGCCCTGGTTCCACACGTCCCTGTACCTCGGGCCTGGGCACTCGCTGCTCATGTTTCCTCCTTCCACGAGGAGAACCTTCCTCCCCTTGGAGATCATGCCCACAGCCATGTGTTCTAGAAGTTTCCACTGATTCCTCCCCTTGCCTCCCTGGATTTCCTGTCATGTTTTTGAAGAGCACAGCGTGTCTCTGCCTGGTGTCCCAGCTGCTTGTGACCCTGCCACAGGCCAGGGCTGACTACCCTGTGAGCTCAGAGAGGGCTGGGGCCACCCGGGATTCATTTTGGCGGGCTCCGTGGGACCTCGCACTGGGCCCTGGTCTGGCAGGCAGCGGTGAGCACTCGGGTTCACACGTGGCAACGGCAGACAGGAGCCTGGTGGA